CCAGAACATGCGTCTTTGGCAAGGGCGTCACATCCCCAAGATCCCGCACGCGCGGCGTCCCAAAATGATTATTGATTGCATGGTTATCTTAAAATGTTGCTGCACGATCGCACAGAAGAGGCGCGAGTCGGAGAGATGATCAGGCCAACTCCAACCCAAAACGTTGCTTCTGCATCTTCGCCCGAAAGAAAAATGCGGCACCCACTGTTCTCATCCTCGGAATCCGCCGATCCGGTGCGTGAGTTTGCGAGAGCGGGGGCTCGAGCTCGCCCACGCTTCGCTCGGGGGGGGGGGGGGGATTCCAACAAAATGAACTGAGCGCACCGGCCCCCCCGCCTCCCACGCGCGCACACGCGCGCGCACGCACGCGCGCACGTGCACATACCAACTTCCCCCCTCCGAAAAAATATTCTCTGACCCCCCCCCCCCTCCGACAACCCCCCCGACAACCCCCTCCGAAAAAAAGACCCCCCCTTCTAAAATGTTCCTTTCCGCTCTTCCGCTTTCTCTCCTACAGACACCCCCTCTCCCCTCCAGGACTACCCCGCCCTCTCTTCCGACATATCCTTTTTTTCCGCTCTTCCGCTTTCTTTCCTACAGTAAGACGAAGCCAGGATCGGGGCAAAGTTTGACCGGGATAAAAGACATGCTCATGCTTGGTTTTTCAAATCACCGGGGGCGCCGCCGAACGGGCCTGCCACGCCATGGGCGCCATCGGCTTCGCGAGGGAAGAAATGCACCCCGGCGCGGGCGAGGCCGCGGCGCGCACTTGGCCACGCGCGCGCCCGAGGGAATTCAGCGCCAAGCGCCTTTCACCCCCGAAGACCCGGCGTCAACAAAACAAACTTGAGGCCCCGATGGGGGCCCCAAAGAGGCGGACCGCCAAAACAATCACGCAACCAACGCAACGAAAAAAACACGTGTAAATGTCAAAAAGCGCAGTGCTCAGTGACCTCTTCGGCCACGCAACACCGCGATAATGCCCGAGAAGGTATTGGAAAAAGGGCCCGCGCGCGGCCTGGCGACTTTCCCGCGCCGCCCCAAGGTTCCCGAAGCGCGCCGAAATAACCGCGAAGAAAAACCCGGAAAGTCTTTAGAAGGCCCCCGCACCATGCAATATCCGCCACCGAGTAATCTCGCGGACACCTAGCGCGCACGCGCGGGCGTCCACCATGGATGCCCAACTCCGGTTTCGGAGACAATCGCGCGCAACCGCACGGGGGCTTCGGCAACCTCGCGATTGGCCCAGGGGCCCGCGGGCCCCAAGGAATCGAGGACCGAGTTCGCAACTCCGGAAGCATCGGGCGCGGCGCCAGCCAATCGCTCGTCTCTGGCTGACAATGGGGCGCCTGGAGATCCGGTAAGACCTGAGGAACCGCTTTTCAGAGATTCACAGCACCAGAAACCGGGGCGCGCCAAATTCTCGCGTCCGAACTTCTCGAAGAAACTCTGAAAATCTCTGAACTAGACACCCCGCGCGATGCATTCCCATAAACCCAAAACCTCGGAGCTGGCCGAAACTCTCTGAGAGTGTTTCGGCCCGCGAAATTTGGCGCGCCCGGATTTCCGGTTCCGAGATTCTCTGAAATCGGCCTGCGGCGGCGCCCAGCAGGTCCTCGCGCGCCGAGGGTGGGGGCCGTGGACACCGCGGGCCGCGATGGTCCCGACCGCGAGGTCCTTCCTCCTGCCCCTCGACGAGTCCACGCTCATGGACACGCTCTCTGCGCTGAGCGTGGACCGCGCCATCCGCCGGTACTTCTGCGCGACGACAGCCAACTGGCCGCCGACGGACAAGGCGATTCTTCTCCGAGCTGCGCGCGCCACCGACAACGCACAATAACCCCGGGCTCGCAGAGAAACACTTTCGAAGCATTTTCAGGCCGCCAGCGTCGCGGCTGCCGACGCGCCGCGCGCCGACCGCGAGACTAGCTGGGCCCGCTACGTCCACGGCGGCGGGCGGGCGCCCAAGAGAGCTGTCGCCACGGTGCGCGCGGCGGGGCGCCCGCCCCACTGCTACCGCACATGCTGCCTCCATGGCGCCACAGGCGTAATATGTGCGACGCGCTCTCGGGCCCCCCATCAACGCATCGGCCAGCGCCTAAGTCCCTGAAGCGCAAACCTACTGCGCCCCCCGTGCAAGCCGCGCACCCGCTCCCAATGCTCGTGCACACCAGCTCTTCTGCCCGCCCTCAACAGTTTAATTGAGCGCCCATGTGTTACTTGGGCTCCACAAGCCCTCGAAAAGTCCATGGGGAACTTCTGCGAATGCGCGCGCTGCGCTCCACAATTCGGCGTGCTATTTTTCTTTGGAGCCCTGCCATGGTCTCTGGTTCCGATTTGCCCCGATCTCCCGCTCAACTGATACAGGCCCCCCCCCCGCTCTCACAGCCCCCCCCCCCCTCTTCCATAGACCCCCCCTCCCCAGGACACGCCTCGCCCCTCCGAGAAATCTCCTTCCTTTTTTCCGACGGAGCCTCTTTCCTCGCCGTTCAAGCCCGGGAGGGGGGAAGGGGGGAGAGGGCTGACGCCATTCAGGCCCGGGAGGGAAGAGGAGGGGGCTGGCTTCGCTCTGTCGGGAAGAGGGGGGGGGGGAGGGCTGACGCCATTCAGGCCCGGGCGGAAGGAGAAGGGGGAGGGGGGGGGGGGGGGCGCGCCATTCAGCCCCGGGAGGGAAGAGAGGGGGGGGGGGGTCGCTCTGTCGGGGGGGGGGGGGGGGCTCACGCACTCAGGCCCGGGAGACAGGAGAGGGGGGGGGGGGGGAGGGCCGACGCCATTCAGCCCCGGGAGGGAGGAGGGGGGGGGGAGGGAAAGGGGAAAACGCAATGGGCAGGAGGGGGGGGGGGGGGGGGGGGAACGCCATGGCTGACGCCATTCAAGCCCGGGAACAGAAGTCGGGGGAAGGAGGGGGGGGGGCTGACGTCATGGCTGACACCATTCAGGCCTGGGAAGGGGATCTGGAGGGGGGGGAGGGGGGGGGGGGGGGGGGGCCCTGACGCCATGGCTGACGCCATTCAAGCCCGGGAGGGAGAAGTCGGGGGGGGCGGGGGCGGACGCCATGGCTGACGACATTCAGGCCTGGAAGGCGGGAGGGGGCATCCCATGAGTTCGGCTGTTCACGCGAGATCGTCACTTTCGAATATCCGACGGTTACCCAAGCGAGCTCAACATCTCGATTGTACGACGATGTCTCGAGCGAGAGCTTGTCTTTTAAAATAAAAAGGTCATCCGTTGCAAGCAGAGCCGGTAGCGCCCCGGATCGGCGTCACTAGCCGGAGGCCACTACAATATTACGTTGTTGTTTGTCCGTGCCTCCTGCATACATGAAACATGTATACCGCATGTGTCAATGTGCCCTGTAAGCTTCAAGATGTTCTGCTGCGGCACACCAACATGCATTCCAAGTGGTGCACCGTGGTCCAAAATGGTGCTCGTGACGATGCGGCCCAGAAGGATCGATGGCATCTTTGTCCAGTCTGCCCTTGGGGGAAGTCGTATGTGGAGAAAACCCAAGGCCAGCGGTCCTGAAACGTAAAATAGCCCGGCGCCTATGGCACCATGAATTCTCAGTTTTCCCGTTGCCGGCCCCTTTGGCCGCGTCTGACGCGCTCGCTGCCAAACAATCCGAAGCCTTCTTTTGCACTTCCTGCCAGTCTGGAGATGATCGATGTTCTTCCCATGTCTCCAATTCCGCACCTAACCACTATACGTTTAGTTTATGGTTGACAACGTGCACTTTGAGTATCCATTTCCCTCCAGCCTTTGAATCCCCTGTGTCCCCGTCGGCTTTGGTGTACTGTTTGTTGCTCGTGTGAAGATAGCGGAGGCCTTATAGCAATGAGGTGGTGCTCCTCTCCTCAATGGGAGCATCTGTGTTGCACCATACCCGGCGAGATCCTTTGATAGAACTTGTTGGGGTAGCTCTGGAGACACGAACCCGATGAAGAGCATGCCCTTGAAGCTTTCTTCCGGGGGGCCTTTCTTAAAAGTCTTCGGAGAGCTCGTGCATCGAACATTTTCCAAATCAAACAGATACTCATTGTTCCACATCGGCGAGCGTGCTGTGTGGTAGTCCTCCCACTATAAGTGTCGAGTTGGTGTGTGTGTCCCTGTTGCAAGAGATGCCCCTGTAGATCTCGGTGTGTGGCACTTGTCTTTAGCATTGCACTTAGTTTTCAAACTTCATCGATGCAGTTGCCGACCGACGCTGTCTTGTATTTGTTCGATGCCATGTTCCATATTTGTGATACGTAGATTGTTGTCCTCCACGTTCGCCTCCATGGTCGATTTGATGTGGCGGACGTCGTTGTTGACAGTCCCCTGGATATGTTTGAAATCGTGACCAAGTATCCGGACTGCCCGCACCGTGGGCTCAAGGTGTTTCTTGAACATCTTCCGCATGGCCTTCATCGTGACGGGCTCGTCTTTTTCCAAATTGTCGCCGTCGTTTTCATCGACGGTATTGGGCGACGCGGCGACACGGTTCCTGTAGATGCGGCGCCGCGGAGAAATTGTAGGTGTTGAGGTTGAAGATCACGGCCTTCACCTTGAACTGCTTCGTGCTCCATTGTCGCGTCCGGACTTCCAAACCGTGGTTGTCTGAGTGCACTTCGAGGCGGCGGCTTGGCCAGAGCATGCACTTCGGGACGTTCTGGACGCTTCGGCCTGGTTCCAGCGGCTTGCTGAGCGCCATCAGGTCGTGGCTGCAATACGTCCTTCACGGGCGTGCCGGGCGTACGAGTTGCCATAAATGATTTCCCAATGTGTGCACAAAGAAAATCAAGTTTGGGGAAATTGGATTGTACAGTATTGGGCACTTGGGCACTCGAGGCTATTTGAGCCAAAATGGATTGAGCCAACAAGGCTTGACTTGGCGACTTGAACCCTCGCTGTCCCCCATTTATCGCCCCCCTTTTCATCTCCGCCCTACCTCTCCTCCTTCTCATCTGTGGAGCCGATTCTCCTCCGCCTCCCCGGGCCCGCCCAGCCCCTTCGGCCCGCGCCTGTCCGTGAGCAGCGCAGCAGCCACTGTCGCTGCCCTTGGAGGCGCCGCTCACAGTGGTCGCCCCTGGGCCCCCATCAGACGGTTCGGGGACTGGAAAGCCTCGTCGTCGTCGTGGCCTCCTGCCCCGCCTCTATCCAATAAGCGTCGGAGCGAACGCAGGAGAGCACAGAATCGATTCGATAAGTCGAATCGGCGAACGAAATACATCGGATCGGCGGACATGGGCAGCCGAGTCGGCCGAAATCGAATCGGCGGATATCGGCACGCTAGTAAGGCCCCCGCTGAGAAAAATCGGAATTCTGATCGGGCTCCGAAGTCGACTCGAATCGGAATGGGAATCCATCGAAATCGAATCGAATCGAGTCGGAAGAATCGAAATAAACCCTGGGAACGGCTCTCCTGCGTCATGCCGTCGCCGTCTGTCTCTGACTGAGGCCAGCTCCTGCCGTGACGACGAGGGCTCGAGTCTCTGATACCGCCCGCACAGTTCCATACTGAAGGAACTCCGCTCTTGGAGGAGCCCAGAAGCCGTCGACCCCACCACGCATCGCATGGATTCCCCGCCACAAGCCGTCTTCTGTCGGCCCCCAGGGTGTTCTGGTCCCACCGCTGCGCCGGCCTCCGCGCCACGCCGAGACGGCGCGAAGCTGCCGAAAACCGACACCCTGCACGGCCAGGCCCCCGGCGCTCCCGAAGCTGGCACGGAAAAGCCCGAGCACGATGCCCACCAACAAAAAGTAGGGGATCTTCTGACCCGGGTCAGTCAGGCTTTGCAGGATCCTGCAGGATCCTGCAGGATCCTGCGCCCAAGCCCAGGCCAGCACGACCCTGGTCTTGCAGCATCCTGCAAGATCTGGTGCTCTGGCTGACCCCTATTTGCATTGACCCCCGTCTCTTGAGCCCCGGACAGTCTCGGGACCCGTGGAGGGCTCCGGGAGCTCAGGAAAACGGCGAACGATTCCTCCATGGCGACATCGTCGAGAACTTTTGCCCGTCTCTTGCGCCTCGAAGGGCTCGGGACTTCCAGGGACCAGGCATGCACAACAAGCAGGCCGTCGCATATCTTTCTGGGAAGGGGCCACGGCGAGCCCCGCCTCTGGAGCCCCGAAAGCGGCCGCCAGTGGGCCGCGCCGGCGGCGACACCGACAGAGAGCCCCGTCCAAGGCGGGCGGGAACTGCTTCGGGCCTTCTCGGGCCGGACGAGGGGAGAGCGGTGGCCAAGCCAGGTGTTCTCGCGGCATATCTGACGTCCCTACCCCTTCTCTCCCACCCCTTATCTGACGTCCCTAACCCGTCCCTACCCCTCCTCTACCCCATATCGGAAGTCCATAACCCCTCCTCTCCAATCCCTTGCCACTGCGCAGACCCTCTCTGTTCTCGCACAGTCGGATGCCGAAGGAACGGATCCCCAAAGGATGCGCGATGCGTGTCATGCCATAGCATAGCGTAGGAGACCACGGTAGAGTGTGTCATGGCATAATATGGTGTGACATTGCGTAGTCAAGCATTGCGTATTATAGTAGTACAACGCCAGGTATGGCATCGCATAGTAGTACATAGCATAGCCTTGCATGGCATGGCACGGGGTACTATGCCATGGCATGGCTCCGCGTCCGTAGCCAAACATTGGATGTTGCAACAATGCGGATCATAACGTGGAATCGAAGAGTACGGCTACGTAGCAAAGCATTGAATTGCATACCATGGCTTGGCTGCGTGAACGGTGCAGCCAAACAAACCATGCTGGAGGACCGACAATTTGGAGATGAGTAAACGGTGCTACAGCGGGAACGGTGCTACAGCGGGAACCACATTTTCAAGTACCGAATGAAAACCGAAATGAGGCCAACGCTGCAGCGGGAACACCGTTTCGAAGGACCAAAAACGATCGGATGGGAAAACCGAACCTGTAAAATCAAGTGTGTGCAACAGCAGCACGCGGAGAGGGCGGGACATCTTCCGGACAGAGCCAGGGTAGAGAGGAGAGTAGTATTCGTAATGTGTGATTGTAAAGGGGGAGGGAGGGGGTGTTAGCGAATCAACTCACGACGCAACTGGCTTCCCTGGCTCTCCTCTCGACCAATCCGATATTCGTCCATATTCTTTCCGTCCCAAATTTCCGTCGTGCCGATGCCCGTCCCATGGAAGCCAATCTCGCGGTCTAACATTCATGCTAAACACCCGCCTTTGTTGCACCCCAAGCTACCCTGCGCACGGCGGCGCTGGGGAGCAAAACACCTCGTCTCCCCAGCATCTTCGCTCACATGGCCCTCTGGGCAAATGTGGTTTCGGTTTGCTCCCCCTGTCTGGGAAAACCTTAGCACGAAGCACGGTTGGCATCCTGCGCGCCGAGCTGAGACCCAGAGGGCAACGGGTCGACGGGCGCACGCTTATCCAGAAACAGATGGAGGCTGACGAGGAGGCGGTGGCCGAGGAGAATAATGGGTCGTGACCTGGCGGACGTGTCTATGGACCCGCAAATTGCCGCATCGGAGCCAAACACATGCTTGCAAGGGGGGGTGATGAGGACGAGAAAGATGCCTGATAACACGGGCCATGATGCTTGAGGAGGGCCATCATGAGGGCAGGGAAGAGTATGACAACAGGAGCTGGCCCGAAGATGACTGGAATGGGCGGACCGACAGTCCCGGCATTCCTACAGGCCTACCACGACATGTTCTTGGAGCGCACAAATGTTCTAAGAACAAAGACGATGTTCTTAGAACATTCGCCGGCCCAACGGGACAGAGGCGTGCTAAGATCTCCGGTAACATCTATGCAATAGTTCTACTTCGCGCGCGCGGGGCGGCCCCTGGGGGTCCGCGGACCAAAAGTACCCCGGGCGCGGCCCGGGCGCGGCCCTGGAGACTCAACCAGGGCTCTCAGGATCGCCCCAAGAGGCACCCAACACGGTCCAAGAGAGGCCCGAGACGCCCGAAGATCACTCCACGATGCCCCAGCTGGCATCCAGACGTCCCCAGAGGCCTCCAAAATGGCCCTAGAGGCCTCCAAGATGCCCAAAGAGGCCTCCAAGAGCAATCCCGAGAGACCCTACATAATCGAAATTCATTGCTTCCCCTTAGCTTTTGGACAGATGTGGGCGTTTCCACCTTTTCGGCTTCCCGACGCCCCTAGACGGCGCAAGAGGCCCCCAAGATCGCCCCAAGAGGGCCCAAGAGGCCCCCAAGAGAACCCCAAGACGGCCCAAGACAGCCCAAGACGGCTCCAAGACGGCCGAAGAAGCCGCCAAGACGGCCCAAGAGGGCCCCAAGAATGCCTCAAGAGGGGCTCCAGAAAGGAGACACGAAACAGTATCTCGAACTCTGGGCCCTCAGAGGCCCCCAGGAAGCCCCAAGAGGCCCCCAAGAGGCCCCAAGAGGCCCACAAGAGGCCCCAAAGACGCCCTCAGGAAGTCCCCAAGAGGCCCCCTAGAGGCCCCCAAGCGCCCTCAGGAGGCACCCCATCGACAAGCCCCAGAGTGAGCATCCACGACCAGCACACCCCCACGAAGGCATTTCGAGCTTTCCGCCCTAAGGAACACCTCCGAGACCACCACCTAACCCCAAGAAGCCCCCGAACGGCCCCAAGAAGACCCCAGAATGCCCAAAAGCAAGCCCCCAGGGCCCCCAGAACAGCCCCCCAAGAGACCTCAAGAGGCTTCAACACTGCCTCGAAGAGACTCCCGAAACGCCTGCCAAGAAAACCCCACCAACGCCGCATTGACAACGATCCCTCGGGCAAACAGCAGAGATGAGGCTACATGGGCCGGCGGAATGAGCGAAGCAATTCCATAAGCCCGATGTGTTAAAACAAACCAGCCTCAGCCAGAAATGTTCTAAGAACATGTCGGGCAGACCACAAAAGGTTCTTAGAACATTCTTTGGGGGGCCTGTAGGCAAACCAGGACGCTTCGGCACTGCTTGAAGGCCTCGGAGGCAGAAGCCTGTCCAGCGTGATCCCGGCACGCGCCACCTGGCGATGCATGGGGTGCAGCCCGCCGCCCGACAAGCAAACGGCGCAACAGTCGCGCGCTTCAAGCGTGTCCGCTTAACAACGGAGCGCCTCGCTCTATCGGGCGCGCCCAGAACGACCCCTAGCAAAGCATCCCCTTCCGTGACGCCACCTTCGCCTTTCAAGCTACCCTCCGGCCGCATACATCCGTCTTGGTGCGAGGCGAGGTGAAGTCACAGAAGGGGGTGGGTTGCCAGGGGTCGGTTAGGCCGCCCCTGACTCTCACGCCGCTGCTCGACGGCGGCGCGCGGGTGTACGTGTTGGCGTCCTCGCACTGTGCAGACACGACAAAACTGTTCTCTCCACCGCCGCGGGCGCCCGAACGTGAGACGAGCCGAGGTCCCTTCCCCCTCCGGGCCCTGCACGATGGGAGCCCTGCACTGGCCAATCTTGGGGTGCGCACCCGAAGGTCTGCTGCGCGCTTGGCCCCTCCACACACTTTTTTGGTCCACGGTAGTGGCGAGCACCATCGCGGTCGCAGGCCGGCGGGCCGCAGCGGGCGAGATCACACCAGACAAGAGAAGAAGGGGGCGGCCGCGGAGGCGGAGGGACGGGGAGGGGAGGCCTCGGGCGTAGTGAGTCCACACCACGAAGGAGTGCGCGGGCGGCCTCACGGACCAAAAACCGTGGAAAACGTGGCCCCCCCGCAACTCACGCCGCTGGCAGAGGGCTTCAAGAGATCATTCCATCTGCGCGGCGCAGGTGCGAGAACACCATCTCGACGAAGAGCCCGCCCGTCCATCCATCCGCGCGGCAATTCTAAACTTCGCGCGTTTTGCTCGCGATGCCCAGGGATGCCCCAACCAGGAGCCATGCTCCTAGGAAGAGGAGGCCCAGAAGCCGATGATCATGGGTAGGAAGTGGCGAGGATGAGGCGGCCTCAGAGGATGAGGAGGAGAGGGATAAGGAGGAGGAGGAGAAGAGGAGCAGGAGGGGGAATCTCACCCGGAGGAAAAATGCTCTTGATTAGAAGTTCGTCTCGGGCGTCTCTACTTTGGTGCTAATCATGGCCGGCTGGAAGAAGAGGAAGAGGAATTCCCCCGTGCCTTCGCCCATGCCTCTGCCATCGCCATCGTCCTGGACAGCCCAGGATATCTCAGGATTGCTGGAGGTTCGGGAAAGAAGAGAGCCCTGTCGCCCTCCGCTGGTGCCCGCCCCCTCCGGTGGTGGTCGTGGTCGACGTGCTCGGCCTGGAGCCGCCCTGCGCTCTGGGGCCCTGCGTCCTGGGGCGAGGCACCAGCGGGCGCCCCTCCACCCCGAGCGTCCACACGGGGAGAAGCAGGGTGGGAGGGGGAAGGAGCAAAGATCGGTCAACATCGGGAACTCGGAATCGAATCGGATAGAACCGGCCGGGCCTGACATCGAAATCGGATCAATCGGACCGAGATGGGATCTGCAGAGGGAAGATTGGGCAAAATTGATTTGCTGTCCCAAGGATGTGTTTCGGACGATGCCCTCTTCGCGGTTGTCCCCGTGAGCCGCGCAACTGGAAGCTACCGCTGCGCTCTACCCCGCGGCCGGGCCTTTCTCCCGGCTGGCCGCAGGAGGCAGGGAGGCAGGGGGAGAAGCGGAGGAACAGCACTGCGGGACTCGGGTGGTGGCCCGCCCCCGATGAAGGGAGGCCCAGGAAGAGAGAAAGAGAAAGAGAGAGGCTGGCCGCAGAGGCAGGGAGAGAACTGGAGGAGTTGGACTGGGACTTGGGTGGTGGCCCGCCTCCGGAAAAGGAGGCCCAGGAAGAGAAAGAGAGAGAGGGAGACACACACACACACACTGACGCCTCGAGCGACACTTGCCCAAGAGAGGAAGGAAAAAGGAAGAAACAGGCAGAGATCGGGCAATCTGGGCGGAGTACCGTCCACGGGCCGGCGGGCGAGCGCGCCGCACCCGAAACACTTTGGCCGGTGATGTCGGCTGAAGAGGCTCTTCACACCCGTCTTGGGCGGACGGCCAGGGGACAGTACCCCGCGGAAAAACAGGGAGGGGCGAGGGGACCCTCCGCGAGCGAACAAAAGGCGGGCTGTGACCTTGCAGGCGCAGTAGTCCGAGCCCACCGGATTGGGCAAAGCGATGCCTGCACCCGTCTTTGGCATGACGGCACCGCACTGGAAGTGGCGGCATCCGTCCAGCACCCCTTCAGGACCCGCGTCGAGGAAGGCCACAGTGGACGCTTGCCAGGCGGCGCACGGGCCTCGACTGGGGAAGAAGGCTAGCTAGCTGGGGCTTCGCAAGAGAAGTTTGGGCCGCGTGGAGGGCGGCTGCGACGGAGGCGGAGATGCTCGTCACCGAAGGGGCGAGATAGGCCTGACGCTGGACGGTGGCGTGGAATTCACGCAGCGCGTTAAAGTGCTGTCGCATCGTGCGCGGACGTGGTCGGAAAGGGCCTAGACGTGTTCGAGCTGGCGCTCGAGCTGGGTCTGGCGGTCCGCCGCAGGCTGAGCCTGGGCCTGCGTGGATTGTCCCTGCGACAGGCGGGGGGGGGGCTAGCACTGCCGTCTGGGCGGCGTGCCAGGCCCTGCGCACGACGGGCGTGATTCCCCAGCGCTCGGCCTGAACCCGAGCGGGGGGCGAGACACAGAAAGTGCGGGGTGCGCGGCGGCCAAGGCCCTCGTGGCGAAGGAGGGCCGCAGAGCGAGGCAGGCCAAAGTCCACCACGGCGGGCAAGCTGGAGGTGCCGCGCTGCTGGCGGTGGGCAGGTTGATGCCACCATATTCGGCCAGTTGTTGGAAGAAGTGGTCGGGGTCAGTGGCCGGTAGCCAAACAAACGTCTGCGTCCAAGCTCCAGAGGTAGTGCCCGCGCGGGAGGGTGACGTGCGGTGGCGGCAATCAGGTGCCGTACAACGTGACCATTTCATTCCAACTGCCTGGTCGGTGAACACTGGATGTCCCGCTTTGATGCGGGTTCAGGGGTACCGCGCTGCGAGCTTGCCCGGTAGGCGGGACTGCGTGGTGAGCTGCAGGGGCAGAGGTGGCCCCATCTACCAAGGCTGAGCCTGGGGGGTGGCGTGGCAGGCTCGAAGCGTCAGCACACGACGGCTGGTGGCCGTGGTGGACTTGGCCAAGGAATTTCGGCCGTGGGGTCGGCAGGGAACGGTTGACGTCGCTAGGTGTGGAAGAATTGCTCGAGTGGTCCCCCACGACGGCTGAGCAAGCCCCACGGCATCTGCGACGGTAGGACGGTGGGCCGTGCTGCACCGTTCCCGCCACGTCGTCGCCTGGAGGGTTAAGCGTAGCGGTGGATCTAGGGGGTGACCTGGACTGGATTGGTCAGAATCATTTGACCCGCCGACAATGGCAAAGGGGTGGGCGTGCCTGAACCAGTGGTGTTTATCGCAAGAGAACATGGCTGTGCGTTCGCCCCGCTGTTGCAGAGCGGGGCCACGCGAGGGTGCCGTTTCTGGGTGCTGTGCGTCATGATCTGTCGGGAAAACGGTGGTACCGCGGGCTGTTTGTTCAAACACCCCAGTGGCTTGTAGGCGTTCATGGTAGCCTGGTGGGGGGTCGAGACGGTCCAAATGCGCGTCCATAGCGTCGCGGCGTGCGTCGTTTATCTGCTGGATCGCATGGTTTCGGGCGTTGCCCGAGAGCGCGGCGATATGTTTGTTGGTGGCGGTCGTGGCTTCCTTGGTCGCCTCGATCCCAGGCTTCTTGGCAGGTTTCTTGTGCGTGGCGCCTCTGGTGGTCGAGCACCTCCCAGGGTGGTAAGTCCATGTAGAGTCTTACCAAGGCCGTCGTTTGGAGGGCGCGGGGGACTTCCTCGACGCAGCATATGAGCCACATTTGCGTGCTTCTGTCAAGGTCGCAAGAGGTCTGGAAGCCACCACGGGGTGATGCAGGCTGGCGGTCGAACCTTACTCCCGGGGTCGGGCGCTGTGCGTCGGGGGCTTAGTTGCTGAGCCTCCACGCGGCGGTGCGGGCGAGGCGGTGCCATTGCGCGCGCCAGCGGGGTACAAAGATTGAAGTATCAGTTGCGCCCCTGCGGGGCGGGAGCGGTTTCGCCTGGGGAAGGCTACGTCAAAGCCTCGCAGGCACCCTTGTGCCCTGAGCCGAGACCATCAGACAGAAAGAGAGAGAGAGAGAGACACATAAAACAAGAAACGGCGAGTAGAGCGGGCGGCCGCACTTCGCGCGGGCCGCACTCTTCCCAGACAGGCCTCAGATCAAGGGAGGCGCACGGGCCGCATCAGGTGCCACCCAGGCAGAGTAAGATGCCGAAGCAAACCCAGACGCGAGGAGTGGGAGGGAGCGAGAACGGGGACTAGAACAAACCCAGGATGCGTCATCGATGCTGCAACACCCCCAGCCCTCCCGTCCCGAACTCACTCCTCACGGGTCCCCACAAACATTCCTCTCTGCTGCGAGAACCGCCCCCTAGAAAGACGACCGCCTCATGAATCTGCCATTCAGGCGGGAGCCGCGATTTCTTAAATGGACCCGCCCTCGATGCACCTGCTTATAGCTGCAAAGAGCTGGGATTAAATAAAGCTCAATCAGCAAAAGTTCACCGAAAACCTCGCTTTGAACAGGGACATACCTCCATCCGTTAAACTGCTACACGTGCTCACATCTCTGGCCATCACATCTAAATAAATTGCACGCGACACCCCCCCCCCATGATAAAGGACTCTCCATTCATCGGTAGTAACTGCTGGGGCTTCTTACAACGGATCCGTGCGGCGCCGAAACAAGAACAATCTTCTGAAAAACGGAGCACCCGCCACCCGTGCAGCCGTTCGATCAAGTCACAACGAATGTACTTGGTGCAATGGCGAGAGCCAAATGCTAAACCACGCGTGCAACTGTTGGAAAACTTGAAACACAGATGCGCGGCACTGAAACATAAATCCAAACTTAAGAAAATACCCACCTTCAATCCGTGTAGCGGGGGAGCGTAAAGCGAAAACTCCAGGCCCGCCCTACGGACACGCCTGGTGGTGCGAAGAGGAGTTACTTACAAAGGAGCAGGGCTTGAAGGACGGCGGGGGAGGACAAATTTGAGTGAGGGAGGAGTGACGGAGGAGGAAGCAATGAGGAATGAGACACAGGGCCCGTGAGAAACAGGAAGCGGCGGGAGGCAGAAGAGGAAGGATGAGGGAGTATAGGGGGAAGGGAGGAGCAAGGTAGGATGAGGTAGGGAGAAGAAGCGAGGGATGGAGGAACAGAGGCGAAGACGATGTGTTCCCTCCTCCAGTGCCACCCATCGGAGGAATGGAAGACGGCACAAATATTAACGTTCGGAGGTCCGCGCGGACTTCTTTGCTGGGCGCTGAAACACCCTCCCTGGCGCGCGGAGCGCCGCCGAACGCATATGACAATGCTCATGTCATGATTCGATCTTTCTCACTGCTGCCTCCCAACCCCGTCCTTTTCAATATTTCCCCTCTGGACCCTCATCCCGTCCGCAACCTCCTCCTCCTCCTCCTCGTCCTCCTCCTCCTCCTCCTCCCCACTCCTCATCCCAAACTCCCTCAACTACCTGGTAGCAAAACCCTCCCCCTTCTTGGCCCTTTTCGGGGGTCACCTTGAGCAACGCCCCAATGTGTGTGTGTGTGTGTGTGTGTGTGTGTGTGTGCAGGTGCATGTGTGTGGTGTGTGTGTGTGTGTGTGTGTGTGTGCGCGTCTTGTTTCCATTCCGCCAGAGCAGCCGCCCTCTGCTGAGCCGCCGACGCAAAAAACATGTGTGTCGTGTTTGGAAGCTGCTTAATAATGGGGTGAATGTGGACGGACGAACAACACGAAAATGTCATATTTTCGAACACGGGGAACGCCTGTCCTGGGACTGCGGGAAGATTCGTGTGGCGCCCCCGACCACCCGAAACCGCCAAAACTATTCCGTCGTGATGTTCTTGCGACCGGCCGGATCTCCATCCGCTGTAAGGGTCGGCGCAGGAGCCTCCAGTAGTCGACGGCCATCTTCGCCACGGACGAGTTGGAATACAGATCCTCGGGTGGGGTTCGCGGCGGTTCGCTGGCGCAGGCCACCAAGATAGCGATGGAATGGGGAGAAAAAAAGGCGAAGGGAACGGCAAGAGCAAACTGCGCGCCATGAAGCGGAAAAAGAAACTGCCGCCTCCTCCTTTTCGTCCGCCGCCTCCTCCTCCTCCCTACATGGCGTCTCGTGCTCGCTAGATCCCGCGTCACCGAATGTCGCGAACATCTGTACCTTGCAAGCGAAATAAGGCAATAAAAGGTTCGGACGCACGGGTTCGGATGCACAGGAACGGGAGAGATCCGCCCGCTTCGATCCATCCTTGTGGTCGGGTCCTCCTCCTCCTCCTCCTCCTCCTCCTCCTCCTCCTCCTCCGCCCCCCACTCATCCTGAACTGAAATGAGCCCACCACGGAAGTAACAAGTGTAGATAACAATAACATGCACCAAAACCGCACTCCGTCTGCGCCGTCGGCCAAAAAACGGCGTCGACGCTCGTCGCGGAGGCCTTCGGCGCATCCGCTCCGCCCCACGTCGACGGATGTCTGATGCAGCCGTAGCGATCGCTGCTGGGCTCGCCAGACCACCGCTCGCCGCCTGTCAGGGTCGCACGGGCACGCGCCCCCGCTGGACCGTTGGACAGCGGGGCGCTCCTGCCAACCATCGCGGGCGGCCCGAGTTCGCCTTTGGAGCGACTCGGCCCGCTCCGCTGCTGCCCGTATCCCTCGGCCAGTTTCTCAGCTGAAACGGGCGCCGCGGCGCCCGCCGTCCTCAGGGCCGAAGCCAGGCGCCTCCTCAGTTCATTGGCGTCACTAACCTGTGCTTCTTCGGGGTGGGTGGGCCGTGAGATTCTTCGCGCCAAACAGAGCGCCCCCCCCCAAGGAAACGTGACCATTTCAAAATGAAAAAGTGTCCAGCTTGCTTTCCTCAAGCAGGGCCGCGGGGAAGCATCATGGAACGCCCGCGCGCCGTCGAATGGCCGCGCGCCGCCCGCCCCTGCCACTGAATCGCGCCAGGCGCGCCGCGGAGGCCCGGCCAGCGCGGCCCCCGAGCCAGGCCGTCGCGTGGCCGCTATGGAACTCATCACCGCGATGACGTTTCGTTCCGCGGTCGTTGGGCATAGCGCCCGCGCGAATTTGGGCGCGCGCAGCCGTCGAAGCGCAGGCGGAATCGGCGCGCGTGAGCAGCCGTCGAAGCGCCAGGTGCTGCCCCGGCCGCGAGGCGGATAGCTCGCTCTGGAGAAACACCTCCCAAGCTGATTTATGATGGAACGCGCCGGCGCGGGGCCGACGGACCGCGAGACAGGGCCACTTTGGAGACCCCACATGAAGAAGAAACGCTCGAGCGCGAGCGCCGCGCGGGAAATTGGCGGGGCGCCGGAAGCGGTTGGGCCCCATGCCCGCGCAAAGCGAGCAAACCCCGCCCCCCGGGAGAGGCGCTCGCGGGGCCCACCGCGGGCGCGGGGGCCGCTGGCGCAGACCCTGCCGCAGCCGCGGCGAGGCCCCGGCGCCCCCCCCTCGGGGGCCGCGGCGCGCGGCTGCGCTGGCGGCGGAGAAGATGGGCCTGACGGCAAACGTCGGCTTCGGGGCCTCTGCCCGCCGCGGGCGCGGCGGCGCGATCGCGAACTCGCCGCGCGAGGCAGCGCAGCCCGGCGCGAGGGGATCTCCCCCAACTCAGCGGGGGTCCCCGGAGGAGCCCTCGGCCCCCTCCCTGACCCCCCCGCCGCCTTTCCGCGGCGCCCTGCCCCCCGCCCCCACATGGCCACGATTTGGGGCGCATATCTGGCCCCGATGTTGCTAAATGTTTGGCCTCCCCGCCGCGGGGGCATACTTTTTTGACAACGATTTTCAAATGATTCAATCGAGAACGGAAGAATCCCGCTCGAAATCGCGGGTGGTTTCGCGGCGCCCTGCAAAAGGCTCGCGGAAACGCTGCCGAAATTAACGACAAAATCGTGACCGAAATCACGGGCAAAATCGCGCCCGAAATCGCGGGCGCAGAATCGCGGGCCTGCCCGGCGCGCCGCCGTGCCAAGCAGGCGCGCCCGCGCAATATCAGCGACGGCAAGGAAAAGAGATAGGGGAGGGAGCGGCAGCAGCAGCAGGAGGGTCAGCAGCAGCAGCGGGAACAGGAAATAATAAGAAGCAATAGCAAGACAGGAGGAGAGAAGGAATCGTCGAAACTGGCCCGCCCGTTCGTCGCGCGCCCCATCGCACGCTGGACATGCTTCTCAGGGAAACTTGCCGGCCCAACGGGCCAGAGGCGTGCGAGGATCTCAAGCGACTGCCTCGCACTAATTATACTTCGCGCGCGCGGGGCGGCCCGCGGGGGGCCCTCGGGCGCAATGTGCCCCAACCAGGTCGGGCCAGTGCTGGTTTTCATATGGGCGCGGCTTTCAGGCGCCCCAAAGCGATCTCAAAGGGCCCCAAGAAGCGCCCGAGACGGTCCAGGAGGGCCCCGAGTCGTCGAACGATCGGTCCGCGACGCCCACGATGGCTTCCAGACGGCCCACGACGCGCGCAGGACACCCGAAGAGGCCACCGCGAGCTGAAACGAGACCCGAAAACGCGATTCTGAATTTCAAAGAACACATAACAGAGAGACGAGGCGGAAACAGACCGGGGGCGACGCCGCTCGAATGACGCGTCGAACCGAGATTGCGCGCAAACCGCACGCCGAATGCCCAACGTCGGAGCGAGTCGGCGACGCAACCACTTCTGAACAAAGAAAAACAAAACAACTCGTAAACATCATACATTTTGCTTCGGAAGAAACAAAACACACGCACGCGCATGCGCAAAAAATCGCTGCGCCAATCCGCTTGGGGGACGTGGCTCCATGATCCTTCTGCGGCGCCGAATCTGACCGCGAAGCGGCTGGCCGCGGTCGTCGACCGCGCCCTCGTGCGCGGACAGCCTTTTCATCGCGATCCTCAGATCCCCGGCGACGATCGGGCGCCCTGGCGCGTTGCTCCATTCGCGGCCGCCGACCTGCGGCGCCGCCCCGACGACCTGCTCCTTCAGCCAGCCCGCGTCCTCCAGCGGCGTCGTCGCCGAGGAGTTGCACTTCATGGCGAGCTTCAAAAGCGCCCGTCGTCCTCTTCCAGGTGAAAATTGTCGCCGTCGCACTCGCTGTCCTGGTATAGGTAGGTCTCCCGAGACTGGACCAGGCACCCAAGCAGTAGCGCAGGCAAGAGAGAAGAAATTGCACTGCCGATCAGCGCAGTGCCCCACGTAGTAATAGCCAACCCAGTCGCGGCACCTCCTCGGAGGTGGATCGCCCACAGGATCTGGAAAGGCGCCGTCTTCATGAACTTGTAGAGGTCGATGGTGTAGTTGCCCAGTCACGGGGCCGTCAAACTGACGTCCGTGGGGGGCCAACGGTCCCGCCGCTGCCGCCAGCGCCGCGGCCCGCACCTTTGGCGGCGGCTGCCAGCCTCGCACGCGCCGCATCCACCACGTCGCCGCCGACCTCGGCCGAGGGTCCATCTGGGGCGGCGGCGCCGCCAGAAGGGGCTGCAGGTGCGCCAGCCTCGGGGCCTGCCGTGGCGCCCGCAGTCGCCGCTTGAACAGTCGCCCCCCCCTCCTCAGCCTCAGCCGTCTTGCGCTTCTTCTGGAGGCGGTTCTTGAGCTCAGCGCGCTGCCGCTCAAGCTCGCGTGCTTCGGAGGCGAACTTGCCGAAGGCCTCCTGCGCCGTGGCCTTGAACCTGGCCTGGAGATCTGCCTTCCTCCTGGCGGCCTCCTCGCGGTCGGACTCCTGGATCTCGTAGTCCTCGAGGGCCTCCAAGCCGAAGAGCCCCTCGTCATCGAGCTCCACGTTATCGCCCTGGAGCAGCTTGGCGATGGACAGCCTCCCCGACTGGCCCTCGCCCGCCGTCGACGGTGCGGCGCCAGCCACCTGCCGCGCCAGGGCCTGCACAGCTGTAGTGTAAGCCGCCAGAGCCGCGTCGTACTGGGCAGAGCGGGAGGCCACCGCCGCCTTGGCACCGTCCAGCTGGGTCTGGAGCGATTCTGCCTGCTCAACAACCTTGTCCAAGGCTTCGGCTGCTGCGCCCCTGGCTGCCATCGCCTCGTCCACCGATAAGGGCCGTGTCCGCCGAGCGCTGCGGAGGTCGTCGAGCTGCTGCTGGTACTTCCGCACTCCAGACTCATCCTGGCTGAGCTGCAGCAGGCTGATGAGCTGTACCAGCTTGGCCTCCTCGGGGTCGGCGTCGCTCCCGCTGTCCAGCTCCTCCCCGCTGGCCAGGGCAAGCCGTGCACTGGAGCCATCGAGCGGCCGTCCTCCTGCCTTGTCAGCTCTGCCGCCTGGGCCGCGCTGCAGGCTGTCGCGCCATGCCGCGGCGCCGTCGGCATGCCAGGGCGCCCGTTGCGAGCCAGCACGCCGTTCAGCAGAGCGATGGCGGCGAGGAGGAGCCTGGGACGGCGTCGGCAGGAGCTCGCACTTGCAGTGCCTGCAGTAACTCCACCACGCCTCGTTCTTGCGGAGCCCGCATGTCGGGCACTGGGTCCCACCCGCGTAGGCGCCCAGGCTGTCGCCGCTGCGCCCCTGCCGCGGTCCCCGTGTTGCTCCAGCTGGGCCGGCGCCCCGTGAGCCATGCATGGGCAGCTGGCTTCCGTGGTGCACCAGCAGCCGTCGGCGGTCACGGCACCGCCGAAGCCGAGCACGAGCGTCAGTCGTAGGCGCCGCGCCCAGCGGTGCCGCACGTGCGAGCGCTCGCGCTCGCGAGGTCGCCCCACTGTGGGGCTGGGGGCTATCGCACGGCGGGCGCGCCCGCCGCAGGGCAACGGCTGCGGGCCGCCGCGCGCTGCGAAGCCACCTAGGAGGAAGAGGAGGAGGAGGAGGAGGCGGAGGAGGAGGAGGAGGAGGAGGAGGAGGAGGAGGGGGGAGACAGAGACGGAGGGGGACAGCGAGAGAGAGAGAGAGGGAGAGACTCGAGGGAGCGGCGACCCCTGTGAAATCACAATGTTTGCGAAGCCTGGGGGCACAAAACCCTGTTATGTCATTGGGATGTTTGG